CCCCCTCAGAGCCTGTGCCAAGGGAATGGAACACAGCCGGTCTAGGTCAAGTTCTCACCCACCACTACTCGGGAGAGGAAAGTATTGGCTTCATAGACCCCATTCTGTAGCCAGTTGGCCCTCTGTTCCAGCCTTGCTTACAGAATGCTGACATAGCAGGTGGTGGCTATGAGTAGAGAGGGAGGAGCTTCAGTCTCAAAGACACTCCTGATTGGTTGAAAGCTTGAGTCTAAACCAATCCCCGGTCCTTTGACCCTTGATTGGCTTACTTCCAGACATGAGCGTGGCCAATGAGACGGGAGATGGATGCACTGGCGCCTTCCTGGAATGTTGACCACTTTTTTATATGATTTTCTACGAATAGTTTGAAATTTATGGAAAAGTTAAGAGATGGCACAAGACGTTCTCTAGCTCTCACATGACCGTGGCCGTTGGTGTAGGACGCAGCGACCTTCTGCCCAGTCCTGTGCGGTCCTCAGTCCATGCTGTTTGAGCCCCTTGTTCCAGCCACTGTCGACCCATCTTCCTGAGCCTCTTCCTCTGCCCCCTGGCCCTTATAAGGACACGCTGACCTTGTCTAAGGAGCCCTGGTGGTGCTTCAGGGTAAGCCTTGGGCTGCTCACGACAGGGACAGGTGAGGCGACCTGCTTCCACAAAGACCTAGTGTCAGGAACCCTGGGTAGGGCCCATACAAGTTAGAGCCTAACAAGCCAAACAGCTCTGAGACGGGTATCTGGAACACACTTCAGTTGTGCCTCATCGCCGCAGCCTCTCACCACACTGACTCAGTCTGCATGCCAAGCGAATCCGAGAAACGGCTCTATGGAGAAGAACGAGATCAAATGACAAAAAGCATCGGATGGCTCTGCTGAACCAGACCTCTGTAAAGTGGGCCGAAAGCAAGGGTGTTACTTTGAGGACCGTGGTGCGTCTTTTCAATCTCCTCCCACAAACGTAAAAGCTGGGCGTTCAGCAAGGAGGACCGAGGAAAAATCAGTGCATTTGAATTACAGTTCTGGAAAAGACTTCAAAGGACCCAGGACTGCCAACGGGATAAGTCGATCTGTCTTGGAAGAAGTACAACCAGAATGCAGCCAGGCTGGCGAGACTTCATCTCACGGAATGTGTCTCCTGTTGACAGGAGAGAGCAGTCCGGGGAGAAGGACATTGTGCTTGGTGAAGTCGAGGGGCAGCGAAAGCCAGGAAGACCCTCGAGGAGATGGACACGTGGCTGCGACGAGAGGTTCACACCTGGTGAGCATGGCGCAGGGCTGGGCAGGCAGTGTTTGGCACTGCTGTACACTGTCACTGTGGGTCAAACAGACTGGACCTCATCTGCCAACAACATGGGTTCGCATCAGCTCACTGGCAGTGGAGTTTTTTGCAAGTGGGTAGCAAACACGGTGCAGACTGCCTCTGTGGCAAAAAATCTGCTTATTGGAGCTATTTTTAAAACAATTGGTTATGTATAAATTTGAGTTTGGCAGGGAGGCAGGGGAGGGTTGTTTTGTGATAACATCTGCATTAAATAAATGCATAGGCTGAAGCCCATACATAAAGAAGCAATTCTGGTTCATTTTATAACAAAGACACAAGAATCCAAACCTTGGGTGATCGGCTGTCGTAACACCCTCGCTCCAGGCTTGTTACAGGAAAGAAGTGATCCTTCGTTTCAGAAGGGTCTCCCTGGAGTTTACCGCCCCTTTCAACTCAGAGCCCTCCTAATACCCAGGCTCCTGGCCTAGCATAGGAAAGATGGAGGTGCATCCCAGCCCACACACAAGGGCAGGTCCGAGCATACTAGTACCCAATCTCGAAACCACTCAGCAAAAGGCTCCGAAGGGGAAGCTCTTGTTTCTCAACACATCCTCCTTCTAGGCCTCTCCACCGCAGAAGGTGCTGTTGCCAATCCTCCAACCACCAATGAATTCCGCCTTCGAAGTATACCGCGTCAAGAACGGTATCACGGTCCTTTTCAATGTTCTTTGAGTTTGGAGAACAAGAGGCAGTGTGAAGGGGCAAGATCTGCTGTGTCAGGAAGCCGAGTGGTCTCAGGCGCCAGATGCAAGCTTTCACTCCAGTGAAGGGGCAAGGTCAGGGCTGTAGGGTAGGTGGGGTGAGGTGTCCAGACAGCCTCTCAATCTCCTCAAAGATCAAGCAAGACCGTGGTAAGGTTGAAAATGTGAAAGTCCTCGGCACAGCTTCCTGGCTTTTTTCTCAATAGCGCGGATTTCCATTTTCTTAAAACTGTCTCAATACTGTTGTTGTCGACCTTGGGCTCCGACCCATAGCGACCCCGTGCACAACAGAACGAAACGCAGCCCGGGCCTGCGCCGTCCTCACCCGTGTCCTGTGTCTGAGCCCATCGATGCAGCCACCATGCCCGTCCATCTCGTTGAGGGCCCTCCTCCTCCGCTGCCCCTCCACTTGACCAAACAGGATGTCCTTCTCCAGGGACTGGTCTCTCCTGACAACCTGTCCCAAGGATTTCAAACACGAAGTCTCACCATCCTTGCCTCTAAGGAGCACGCTGGCCTTCCTGCTTCCCATGCTTTTGTGGCCGAGGTACTCTGGAGCAGGAATTCTAATACACCGGTTCTTCTTTGGGCCCAACTTTCACCTGCGTATGAGGCCATGGAGCAGACCGTGGCTTGGAGCAGGTAGGTGCGCCATAGTCTTCATACTAAGCTCCTGACATCATGTCCTTCAAGGAAAGCTATCAAGATTACCTCCGTGGAAGCCCCCCAAAGACAGTTGTGTAACCTGAGCTGACCTTGCAGCCTGGAACTTCACTGGCCCAGCAAGTCCCCTCAGAGTCATTGTTTCGATTGAACCTGTTCTTGAAGGGACCCTACTGAGACAAAGACAAGGATGCTCCTGGGAGACCAGGTCCACAGCCATCCACTGACCACAGCGACATGTCCAAACGTGTCTGGAACCGACCCAGGTACGTACATACTGGGACTTGAGGAGCAATACCTCACAACGTAACCCGGGGATATATTTCCTGTGCATTGTTTTCCAAAGAGTTGTGTATGTTTGCTTTATTGTTTTATGTGTGTGTGTGTTTGCTTTAGGCGGTATAGGCTCCCCGGGCTCGAATTTGGGACTGATGAAGTTCTAGGAACAAGTCTGAAGCAAGAAAAGCCAGCCAGCATATTGTGTCTCAACCTAATGAACGTTTTCATTATTATCATCACTGCCCATGTTAACAGTCACTAAATTTGAACCCGAGAGGCATTTCTGGATTTCAGATTAGCGGCTTAAGGATTTCAGAGCCAACCGATTCCTTTTTTCTTCCAAAACCCTCAAACTCCCTGCCAGCGATCAATGCTGCTCCTAGTGACCCTGTTGGATAAACAGGGTGGAACTGCCCCTTTGGGTGTCCAAACTGCCCTCAGAAAGCCCCTGAGAGGCCTCGTGGGTCTCAGCTCAACTCATAACCACTGCGC